GAAGGCTGTCCCAGCCAGTCACAAAATCTGAAGTACAGGTCACGAATTACCAAACACTTTGTTATATTGTGATAATGGGATCAGCCAAAAGAAAATTGCTTTGAACAATTCACATATTGATACGTACTGTAGAGTTTCACATGACAGTCAACATATACATACACTAAAATATGTCTATATAGCTTAAATCGTAGGTAAAAATGGGGAGAAAGTTAGCTGATGCTCATTTTTTCAAAACTAAGCCATTTTGGCTCCCTACCTCATTGGATTTCTGAGCTGCCCTTGCTGGTATTACTCTGGCTTTTTACACTGACAATTTTACAGTTTTCTTGAAGATTCCTAAGTTGTTTTATTAAAAACTGTAGGGGAAGATCAAAGCCCAAATGTTTTTTCAAACAATAGACGTCATTGGAAATAGTGGATGTTTTCAATATCATCGAGGTGGTATATCTCAAGAAGCTTTAGTACTAAATAACAAAAAAATCTGTCCAAAGCATTGAAAGTGCGTTATTACTTTCCAGTCGCATAACAACCCAGCTTCACCGGGTTCCGACCTATCAGTGGAGCCACAGAAAATGGTTGGTCGTAGGCGTTTCCACCTCATACAGAAAACCGTCACAGCAGTTCTAGAAGAGGAGAAACAGAGGAACCGAGCCATTGACAAGAAGTTACCCATGCTATTTCCTTGCCGATGTCGCATCCTCTGCAGTAACAGAGAACTTCTGCGTCCAGTTATTTGGGCCTTCGACAAACTTTATATTGAATATATGGAACTGCACAAAGACTATAGCAGACTGTTTCAGGCCGCTTGGATTAGACGTCAGGAAGAAAAGATTTACTATTCCAGGCGACCCCCACCCCCGGAAGTGGAACCCCAACGACCCTTTGTAATTGAGGAAGTATCGCCCTTTGAGGATGAGATCGCTGATTATTGGGCAAAGGAAGCAGCCAAAACAGGGGCTGAGGAGGTGACTGGTAGTGGTACATCCGAAGAGCGACGACTCGAAACCGTTCGTGTGCGGATGCGATATAAGTCACGCAATCCCTTCAGGCGCTTCATATCTTGGTGCCGGTCCATTGTGTACGCCTACAGGGACTGCACTTGTCTAAACTGCGACTACCGAGAAGGCCTGCTGGACTTTAGGGCGGCCTTGACTAGCCTACAGAGGGAGTATACTACAGTCTATCTACAATACACTGCTCTAATCAGTGCTCTTCAAGTCCGCCGGCCGGCACCGGGCGATGATATTAAGTACATTCTGGTGCGAGATTTGGATGCCATCACTCGATGGTTCGAGAAGACAGAGGAGAAGAAGAAGGAAGAAATAAAGAAGGCGGAAGAAAGCGGAAGAGAAACACCAAAGCCTCCTTCTCCTCCCCCACCACCACCTTCTCCCCTTCCGCCTGCTCCGATTCTTCTTCTAGCGCAACCAAATGCAAAGCCGGATGCCGTTCAGCTTTTGCTGGACCAGTGCGAGTGTGAAATGGTGACTGCAGACATTACGGAAGACCTCCGGTAAGGCTTGAAAAAAAACTGATGAAACGTAACTTTTTTTAAGTGATGTTCGGTGACAGCCAAATTATAAGTTTTGTTTCACGTTTTGCTGCAAACTTATATCCTTTCAATGTCTGCACAGGAAAAGGGGGTGCTTACGTTGAAAAGACAACTGACGCATTTGCATAGAAACGGTTATGCTAGAGAAGGCTCATCGTCACAGTTAAAGGGTACTGGAATGAGCACTTCTAGCTAATGACACCTAGTAAGCCGGAAGTAACAATTAAAGTCTTGCCATTTACGTAGATAACGATTATTTTGTTTGGTTATTTCGCAACAGGCTGAGTAGGTTATAGATGCGGATATGCAAGACAAAGCGGAAATGCGTATTCTCAGCCCCCCCCCATTTAGTGTACATTGAGGAGCGTCACTTTCGGCGCAAAAATGATGCTCACCACCATATATCACAGTCTATTTTGCAAATTCAGCTTGAGCTATGACCTGCAAAGCACAAATTACAGCAAGGTCAAAATTTGATTAACTTCTATCAAAAACAAGAGGATGAAATGGTCGATTTCGATTCCACAAGAGGAATATATCACTACGCATATGCAATTCTGTTGGGGAGGATTAGTATTTTGATTGACCTAATTGTGGAAAATTCACAGCCTTGGTGAGAGTCGAACCCATACAGCAGGGGAAGTTTTTGCGCAGCCAGCGCTCTACCATTTGAAATACGAGGCTCACCGTGCTCACCGTGGTCGATTTGTTTGCCCAGCTTTACAGCACCTATGGAATCCATCAATAAAAAACGCAGTAAGTTTGATTAAATTCGCGGCGCACGGTGAGCCTCCTAGTTCATATGGTAGAGCGTTGGTTGCGCAAAAACCTTCCCTGCTGTGCGCGTTCGACTACTACCGAGGCCGCGAATTTTTCAGAAATGGGTCATTCGAATTATTGAAATCTGCCGAACTTCTAACACCGAAGATTAATATTTTCATAGAAGCAAGTCATGGCATACTAAAACACACACAGGTGTTCCAGGCTTCCCCTAGCATTTTTGAAGCATTTTGCCCGGGCGCGAATTTGAAACAAGCGCATACAAACTTCGAGACGGCTTTTTAACTGCTGCCTGTATTTGCATGTAGATAGCGAATGTAGTACACAACAGTTTGAATTTGCACAAAAATTTAACAGCAAGATCGTTATTCAACGCGGCGAATAATCACTAATAATATTTCCTTTAAACTTGAATACAAGAAAGAAAAATTAGATAAAAAGCTAAAAAATTAAAGCGGGATTAAATCTAGGCCCGTGATTACCAGGGTAGTTGCAGAGTAGCCACATGCTCTAATTGCTTGCATAGGTCGAGTTTCTCCCGCCGTTTGTAGACTGTTTCCATGTAGCACAAGATCCGATTTGTTCGTGTCCGAACCAGTACTCGGAAAGATGTATCAAGGTCAACAGAGTGACCATTGTCCAGCAAATGACTTGGAATCGAGGGCCACGGTACATTATTTCCTTGTCTGAAAAGCCAATTAGGTAAATGCTCAGCGGCCCTGGCTGCCAATTGCATTTGCGGTTTATTGAAAGGCTTTAAGTGGGATTGAAGAAGACGAGTTCAGGTGCATTGTACGTCCTCCCTATGGTGCAACGCAACCGTCGCTTGATTCTATTTGAAATATTATCACCTTTAAACGGTAAGAATAAAATAAAGAGCTTTTATGGAAGTGACTGGACCGTTTTTTTCGGCCACAAAAGGTGTTTTATTTCTTAACGAAGCGTGCAGGATAGCCAGGATTAAGCAGGGCTTCATTTATGTGGGACACTTCTAAGCAATTTACATGAGAACAAAACCAGGTACGAAAATTCATATTGAAAAATTCAAATAATAAATTGACGAGTATGCGTTTGCTTTCGATAAATCTTCTTCAGGCCTGTATATTTATATCGTACTTAACTAAATAAAGTGTGCGGGTTTATAGGAAAAATTGTGCAGTTGTCAGGCTCGGGGGAGGATGGACAAATTTGGGGTCTGCAATCTGATCGGCGCCAGAGGGAAATAGCCACCGGGAAAGGTAATAAACTGTGGGCGGTTGAACTGACGACTTTCGACCATGGTAACTGGGCCGCTTTTGCGAAATTCGCTTGGGTGCACATGGCTGGTTTGCGTAG